AATGAAGGAAAAACGAAGTTCGCCTTCTCCTTCCGAATGTCTTTGACACATCCTACCGACCTGCAAAATGCTGGCATTTTGCAAATGACAACCAGGATAATGCAGAGAACCAGATTTTATCTGACGCGGCAGTTTCTTTTTGTGCAGACAAAAACACAGAACCCCCACAATCGGAACCGCCTCACTCCATCGCATCACGTTAGCTTTGGCAAAACTGTAAGCGTCATTTATCCTAAGTAGATTCGTGCTTAGTTACTCCAAAAGGGAAATCGGCGCCACGTGAATACCTCCTCACCTCGCCAACTTAACTGCGAACCTCCTCCTCTTTGTGGTGATCAACAGCGTCAAGTCAAGGCAGAATCGAACCTGTGTCTTCCCCCAACCGATTGTCGACAGGTGCCCCAAGTGACTGGATGGGATGCTTCAAGGCTCAAGGAGATGTGTGTTCACGGCGCTGCGCAGTCACTAATGCAGGTGGGTGGATAAGCGTGTGATGAGGCATCGCGGACGTGACTTACAACACCCTGCCCCAACACTCGATCTCTGATGACCATCGCAGTAGACACCAGAAGCCCCACAAATGCCACGAGGTGCGCAATTCAGCACGATGCGCATAACCCAGTTTCGGGCGGAGGCATTAGCGTTCACATCGGATCCAGAGGTTTCGGCCATACGCCGCGCATGACCTTCAAGCAGAGGACAGCGTGTACAGCCACAGGGTAAACAATCCCGCCAAGACGCAGCCACTGGGCTGGTCTACGTTGGAAATGCTTTTGTGAGTTGAGCCACCTGCGCAAATCACCACAGTGCAAGGCAATATAACCTGTGAAGAGGCGAGTTCATGCATCCAGCCACAGTTTAATTCAGCCTGTTCTTGTTGATATTTCATTAATAATTGTCAAGTGGATGATAATATACTCCGATTTGACTAGTCATTGACTTATTCGGCCAAGTAGTTCAGTTTTAGCTGATTTATTGGGTGGTTTTCTAAAAGTGCTGACCTCGTTTCGCTCAATGCACCTAAGTGGGGTTTTTGCTACTGGAGTAAGACCTGCTGCCTTTCTGTCGAGAATGTAACGCACCTTTCTAGGCAAACAGCAAAATGTCATCTCAGAGTAAATTTAAGTAATTTGCGTGATGACTTTGTTACTCAGTAAGTGTGCTTGGATGGACGAATTGACGAACCCAAGGTCAAATGTTGTGCTTACAAAGCCTTTTATACTTAAGTTTTCCTCACTAATATAAGATCACATCGGTTGATCTTATTTTAAACAGCTTCTTTAAAAAGCTATTCTCTTTGTGTCGTTGGTTGTGTCGGCTCAGCTACTATGGCAACGTAGGTGGCGTTGCGTGTGCACGCCCGCGTAATACCGCGTGCATGTTTGCCCGGGTCTTCGCGCTTTAACGCTGGGCATCCAATGGGACGCGTGCTACCCATCGATTGCCCATAGGCGTTATGCGTGCAAGGTACACATGGTGCGCCAGAGGTGCAATCGTGTGCGAGTTTTTATCGATTGGGAGTAGAACGGCCCGTGTTTTGGTTAGCTGGCCAATGGGAAGCAAACGCAGCTTCCGATAAACTCTGGCATCCGCCTGGCAGCACGCAGATTGCTCGCGTCCAGGCAAAAAGGCACACTTGCACACAACTCTACCGGGGCTCTCTCCAGCTTTTGCATCCCCAAACGGTTTGTGTTCTTGGATTTCTTCAACCAAACTCGAACCGTGTTACTTTCGCTTTGCTTACTCAGGCTTACGGCAACTGCTAGTTGTTTTCAAACCACACAGTAGTTGCATCCGTTGATTTGGGCTCTCGGAAGAGCATCTGCGAGAAACACCTACCTTTTTTCCGACTTTCGAATACATTTACCGCGCGTTCGCGCTGATTCAGCTTCAAGACGGGACCCACTAGACACGAAAGCATGTCTGAATCACACATCAAACTCACCCGAACCATCATTGGCAGGACCTCTCCGAGCACCGTGCGACTTGAAGTAAGTCACTCTCCTTACCAATGGAATTCGCATTTCATGCGCCTTTCTGAGTTAACAAGTACATGGATTCCTTGTTCAGAGCCGGCCATTAGATTGAGTTTGGACAGAGGTGCACACAGATCATGCAGATTAGTTGAAACTTTCTTAATAAAGGTAGCCATATTTGATTCTACTGACCTTGATTATGTCTGAAATGCGATCGAAAAGATACCAAGGTAAATTCAAGAACACTCATTGGGCCAAGATTATGACCAATTTCCGAGCATCTCCAGTAGTCAGTCAAGAACGTCTGATTCGCCAGTTCAGTTTCAGCAAGCATCAGGCATCGAATTCTTAGTAGAAGAGTCTAGCTACGTCTTTCAGAGAAAATATTTAAGGTGAATTTGCGAAGTTTAGATCCTAATAATTGTTTCACGTTTAAATGTGACATAGGTCTTGAAGGCACCGTTTTGACACACCATTATTGAGTCTAAACTGGTCTAACTATTGTGTGGTGCTTGCCTTCCGCCTGTTGCGACACCCTAGTTGCCTCTTAACTTGTTGCTTCCTTTCAGAGTCGCGTGCGTGAACTCGAGGATCTACTCGACCTTGAGCGCGATGCTCGTGTCCGGGTGAGCACTCTATTCATGCTCCACATTTATGGGTGAACTGATAGCCGGTAAACTCACAACAGCACACAATGACTGCTCACACCTACAGACGCCAGCAATGCACATTAGTGGGACCAGTTTTATGCAGGATAAACTGACGTTGTTGAGAAAAATCTAGCCCCATGAAAGCGCGATGTGGAAATGAGTTTTCGATTACAAACAGGAAAATTTTCACGTTTGAAATGCTTTGTATTACCTGGTGGAATTTGCTGCAACTATGCACTAACTTTGTTATGATCTTGACCTTCAATTCGACCGCCCTCTGGGTTAATTGATTTAAATCATTACACGAAATTGAAACATGCTTCGAAAAAGACCCAATCAGCATTGAACAGATCAGACAATACACGCTTTAAGTTTTAAGCACACTAACCTAAAACCAGTTGAATGATCGATATTTAAATGGCAAGCAGCTGTAAGGCGTGTGCCGGAGCTAATCTTGTGTTCAACTTCATTCAAGGCCGAACGAAATGCCAATGAACTGAGTATCCAGGTGGAAACCATGGCTGATCGACTTGATGAGTTTAGTGGATCTTCTTCGCAAACTGTAAGTCTAAATCATTTAATTCCTCGTCTTCTTAACTTCGCCTTAATTGTACTTGATAACCGGAAGGAATTCAAGTACACTGGTCTACTAATAAATCCTGCAGCATCAGCAAATGCATTTTAATGAATGGGTTGTTGAGCGTACTCATACCAGTACCTTACACAGTTACTAATGCTAAAAAATATACACTTCTTATAATTGTGAGTAATCAGTAGAGTTACTTCTAGCCTTTCTGAAAATTTACCACCTTTTTGTGCAACTACCTTTCATGTTTAAAGCGACCATGCGAACACCCGTGCAAATTTGCTTAACCAGTGACAAAAGAACTGGTTGCACACGTTAGCAGCCACTAAAATTAGCCTGTCTTGGTGCACGCCACCACTGTCATATTTGGACAAACGTTGCGCAATATGCTGTCCACCCGTGTGAAGGCTGCTGCTAACAAAGTCTGAGGATTCAGATCTGCTTGAAACGAATACGAGGCTTCGAGGCTGGATCAGCTTCAAAAGCAACCAATGGGGTTCGGGACTAAACTGAGTCTGGATATCGCAACGAGCTTTAGTCTATAGGATTAGTGTAGATTCTGCAAATTGAACCCAGGTTTGTAAGCGTAATATTTGATTCTCAGGGCCTTCTCAAGAGACCATTTCCTTCAGAATGATGAACACTGATTTGTGCTCAAAGCAACAAAACCCCTTCTGACCACCCCGATAGCATTTACTTCTGAGTAATATCAGTGAAATTTCAACACCTCCTTCATATTACCCAAAATTCCGGTGTCCCTTTACACGATTTAGTTCTCAGTTATTACGAAAGAGGCCCTACAACACGCACTTGCTTAAACTTCACTTTGATTTGTGACTGTCCGTCTTAGGGTGGTAAAACTGAATGCGATACTCTACTGATATTTAAAAAATCTAATTGAACAGAAGTTGGAATTTCACCGCCACATGGCCATGAACACAGTTTGGTTATCTGACACTAAAACGGTGACGTTTATTGGGATACCAGCAGTGGAGTATTGGCGCTGCCACTCCAAAATAGCAGAAGCGTCACTTGCTGACCAGAGCATGCTAAAACTGGTGTTGCTTGTGCCGTGCAGCAAGAAGCCCTGCGTCGCAAGGACATGGAGATCGCGAAGCTGCGCAAGGACCTAGAGAACGCCAACGCCGCCTTTGAGAGCGCTGAGGCCACTCTGCGTCGCAAGCACAACACCATGATCTCCGAGATCTCCAGCGAAGTTGAGAACCTGCAGAAACAGAAGGGAAAGTGAGTCGACGAATTGTGCTTTCGCTCTCAACTACTTTACAAGCGTAACCAGCATGATTAGCCGTGGTGAATACTCGCGTTTCTAGAACCACCACTTCTATTCAAAGCGTTCAAGCGGGAATCGCGGATAGAAACACATTTAACTTATGGGCTGATACCGAATATAAGTTCAACATACCATCTAGGTTACGAAAAACGATGTCTGAACAGTTAAGGTGGTGCGTTTGACTCCTTATCGGCACTCACTAAGTGTACAGCCTATGCGAGATGGTTCAAAATTCCAAACATTTAAAAGTTGAAGCAATGAAAATTGCATTGGCTTTCTTGGTTACCACGGAATGTGTACCGCTCGTGTTAAAAGAATTCAGCTCCTCCTAAGTGCTATTTTAGTAAAAATATGTTTATAAGGCAAAAGTCCAATGGTAATTGTCAACTTATCAACACGTTTAAAGAAAACCTCTTTTTTGAATTGGATGACACCTTCTTATCCTAAGGTAGAGCAGCTGCCGGTGATCAAGAACATAAAGATAAATTGTGTCCGATTTCAGAGCCGAAAAGGACAAGAGTCAACTTATGATTGAAATTGACAACGTTCTCGGTCAACTCGATGGAGCTCTCAAGGCCAAGGTACAATGTTATTAAATTATCCATTATCTACTAAGAATTATAACAAAAAAAATGAGAAGAAAATGCAAAAAAGAGAGTTAACATGCTTAAAATAGTCCGTGGAGGATCTAAAATATACCATTATTGCTTGAAGACGTATAATTAAATGAGGAGGGTTCTAAAATACACAATTTTAATTTACAGTAAATTTGTTTGCTGTCGAGCATAAACTACCCGAACTTGATGTTAACAGAAAACATGTGTTGCCAATGCCAACGTGGCTACTTGTAACTAAGTAGTCCTTAATGCTATTTCCCTCTGACTAATGTGGCAAAAAAGATGGTTAATCCTGCTTGCCATTTGACCATAGCGTCACCTGACTAATTTGAATCATGAATCATGCCATTTTTGCAGAAAGAGGACAAAGTTTGATTTCCTACGCCAGAATAGTAATGCATAATCTCTCTGTTTTATGTTCAGGACGATTATAAAGAAACAAAATTGGCTATATTCAAATGTCAAACCTGAATCCTAGTAATTTTTAAAAAAATGTTTTCAGGCAAGTCAAATTTTAATACCAGTTAATTCAGTCTAATAGGCTCTTGAGGGTAAGAAGAGCTTCTAGCTACAAATCAATTGTTGTTATTAAGCGTATCACCTGTGCGTTTGCATAGGCCTCGGCTGAAAGCAAGCTGGAGGGTCTGGACAGTCAACTGTCCCGCCTGAAGGCTTTGACTGATGACCTTCAGCGCCAGATGGCAGACGCCAATGGCGCCAAGTCGCGTTTGGCTGCGGAGAATTTCGAACTCATTCGAGTCAACCAGGAGTACGAGGCTCAAATCGTGACCTACTCCAAGGCCAAAGCCTCGCTGGAAAGCCAGCTGGACGACCTCAAGCGCGCCATGGATGAGGATGCCCGTGTAAGTTGCCCATCATTAGGCAATGAGGTTCCGATTGATTGGAACTCTACGCCCCTTCAAATTGTCTGCGCAAATCTGCATCAGGTAAATAGAAGTGAAGGCAATGAGAATTTTGGATTCACCCAGCTAGTGACGCCTCTCTTACCGTGAAGCGTTTCCGCAAATCGGCGTCGAGTAGACAAGTCGGTAGAGCTTTTTGAGACTGATTTAAATCGAGGTACCATCCAATGTTTAGCCAATTAGCTAGTAAGTCAAGTCCCCTGCCTAATGTGCTGACGCCTCATACTGAGACTGTGGGTAGACAGCGCAGTGACATGAAAAGGAAATTTAAGTTGCTTTGCCTTTGCTGTAGAATCGCTTGAATCTGCAAACCCAATTGTCAAGTCTCCAGATGGACTACGACAATCTACAAGCGCGCTACGAGGAGGAGGCCGAGGCGGCCGGCGCCCTGCGCAACCAGGTCGCCAAGTTCAACGCCGACATGGCCGCCCTCAAAACCCGCCTGGAGAGAGAAATCATGGCCAAGACCGAGGAGTTCGAAGAACTCAAGTGAGGATGGCATTTTGCTCAACACTTAGAATTTCTCTGTTACAGATCACTTCTCAACACAAAATGGGTCTCTAACGAAGCCTGATTCATAAAAAAGTGGCAGTATTGAGGATTCACCTCGCGTTTTCCATGCCACGTTCACCTGCTCAGCAAATAGAATGCTGCCATGAATGTAACTCAAATTACTGTTCAAATTAGCGCAGTCTCCGTAAAATGGGAATGTCGTTAGGATTTGACATCATCTATTCGGGTTAATTTTCCCTAACTTCCATTTTGAGCTTAAACTCTGCGAAATGCTTATTGGTATCTCCAAAATGTTTGACCTGTGGTGCATGAAACGGTTGGACAATAGCTCAATCCCACTCGCTGCTCTGAATACCAGTAAACATGACTTGGGCAACGGGTAGAATGCGCTGTCACATTTGCCATTGTCTACTTGTAGACGCAAGTTGACTGTTCGCATTACTGAGTTGGAGGATGTCGCTGAGCACGAGCGTACTCGCGCCAACAATCTGGAGAAGACCAAGGTCAAACTGACCATTGAGATCAAGGATCTTCAGGCCGAAAACGAGTCGGTAGGGTCCTCTTCCTCCCTCCCTCTTGAGGCCTGTTACTGAATTGAATTTCGTGCATTTTAATGGTGTGTTTTTACACGAGCAAACAAAACGCCGACATTGCATGGTTCTGAGCAAATGTCAATTGCGTTGAATATGCCATGTTGTTCAAACATTTGCTGCACGCCACACGTCAAAATGACGGGCGCTAAAAAATTTTCACTCCTCAAAATTCTCAATACCTGCCATTAGAAGGTCAAATCAGCAGATGAGACCTTCTGAGACTCCCGAGAGACGAAATGATTTGTTTGTCCGTCAAACTGTACTTTGGGGTTGTAATAGCTCATTTTACTGGTCCTCAGTATCATCCACGGTGATCCAGCAAGCCCACGAGGCCATAGAGACGAGCACTTGCTTTTTTAAATGCAGCTGGCTGCCGAAAACGCCGATCTGAACCACCGCGCCAAGCAGGCCGAGCACCTTGCCGCTGACCTTCAGCGTCGTGTCGACGAACTAACCATCGAGATCAACAACCTCCACTCGGCCAACAGCGCTCTCGAGTCTGACAACATGCGCCTCAAAGGCCAGGTCAACGACCTCACCGATCGCATTGCAAACCTCGACCGTGAAAACCGCCAACTCACTGGTACGTTGTTTAAATGTGAAAAAAAGTAAACATTGCCCATCTAGTCAAAATTTCTACTGTTTACAATTTTGCAGCTGCAAAATACGAAAAGGGCTGATCGAGGTCTAAGCTGCTAAATATTTATGTCGCTTCGATGGAGTTTATTTCAAGTAAAACACTACAACCCATGCTTCATCATAGTCCACGATGTGACGAAACACAAGTCTAATCTGCAGAAGAATGTCTGAATATCGGATTTCTGACGAGGCACAAATCTGTGTTAAAATAGGACGACAAAAATTTTCAAAGGGAAAGTGAATGTTTGCGTGTTAGTCTGTACCTTCTTCAGCTCCTTTGCCGTACTCTCCACTTGATTAAGAGGTTGCTTTATGTTGTGATGTCGATTGATGTTTTTATAAAACTGTCGATCCATATGTGTTAAATGGCCTGAAAGTTTCGTTTAACCAAGCACAAGTAAGCGGAAGTCCTTAATTAGTCAAGTGATAAACAACGTGTTGCAACACAAAAGAACCCGGGAAATAGAACTGGACGGAAGGAGAACTTCTGAAAGGACAAATGCCGGAATAGTCAGATGAATGATTTGGGTAGCGTGGGGAAGGTACGCTCAGAGAGATGAATTAGTATAATCGATAGGGGAACTGTGAAAAGGAGGTCAGTGGGCCTAAGTATGCAACGACCGGGTTAGTAGACGTGATACAGCACGATTCACCACAAACTGTTGACCTAAACAAGTAAGAAAGTGAGATGTTTCAAAAGTCTACAGTTTGATTCACAATACAGCCTGTACATCCGATTGTACCTAGCAAACACTTGACCCAAACAAACGCTCCAGCTGATGAACACAGATCCACCAGGTGTTTGTCTCTTCAAATTGCAGTGTTCGTTCAAAGTTCCATTTCAGGAGTCAATTACCGGGTCAGCATGCTTTAAGAGCTCATTATAAAGTAGGAAATAATGAATGTTCGCCTGCCCTCCCTCCTTCCACAGACCAACTGAAGGAGACCAAGTCGGCCCTGCGCGATGCCAACCGACGTCTCACCGACCTCGAGGCCCTCCGCAGCCAGCTCGAGGCGGAGCGCGACAACCTCGCGTCCGCCCTGCACGACGCCGAGGAGGCGCTCAAGGAGCTCGAGGCCAAGTACGCCGCCTCACAGAACGCCCTCCAACACCTCAAGTCGGAGATGGAGCAGCGCCTGCGCGAGAAGGACGACGAACTCGAGAACCTCAGGTCAGTTGCTGCAGCCAGGCTGATCCTAGCGTTGGTTTTCTCTTAATTCGAGTCTACCTAAGTGCTTCACAACTTTAGCCATCAGTTTCATAGAAAGCCTCCTTGGGCTGACTCCTGGAAAGCCTACTCTTGATCAGAACTTTCAAAAGGTTTCTCTTCTCCAAACACTTGGTGTCATGTTTTAATGATTTACTAAGTTAATCTCTCTAAGTCACTGACGCATTCGTGTGCAAATATCTTAACAGTAAACAGTGTATGCTTCCAAGACTGATTCCATCAAATGAAGCACACTACCTCAACCACCTGACAGGTAAATACCAAGTTTAGTAGACTCAGAAACGTTTTGATCCACATCTACATCGACTGTGAATGATCTATCAGGAAAATTACGTAAAAGCGGATCTGCGTGAATGTGTCCACCATGTACAATTGAAATCTTGTCTACGAAAGTGAAGAAGATGCAATCTAGAGCATACTTTCTCAGCTTCTTTCTCCTAAAACATCAGAATTATGAAAAGCTTTCAAATCACTGATATTCATTGCAAACAGTAGAAAATTACTTACCACCATTTACAGGTGGTCGTTAAAGTCATCTGCTTCTACAGATCTCATTACACTTCGGTTAGCGTCCTGCGTCTGAAAACGTCTTAGTTCAAATAGGGCACGGCATGCCTCGAAAAGCATAAACAATTTGCATCGAGTGAAGGAAATGTCTTAGACGTGCTACATCGGAGGCCAAATTGGCAGCATCACAAAACCGCTGCAAACCTTATTGTCTGATTTGCCATTTCTAGAAAGAGCACAACCCGCACAATCGAGGAGCTCACGAACACCATCTCTGAGATGGAAGTCCGCTTCAAGTCGGACATCTCGCGCTTGAAGAAGAAGTACGAGAGCAACATCAGCGAGCTGGAGCTGCAATTGGACGTGGCGAACAAGGCCAACGCCAACCTGAACCGCGAGAACAAGGCGCTGGCGCAGCGGGTGCAGGAGCTGCAGGTGGCGCTGGACGACGAGCGGCGGGCGCGCGAGGCCGCCGAGGGCAACCTGCAGGCGAGCGAGCGCAAGCGCCTCGCCATCGCCAGCGAGCTCGAGGAGGTGCGCAGCCAGCTGGAGCTCAGCGACCGCGCACGCAAGAACGCCGAGTCCGAGCTCAACGACGCCAACACGCGCATCTCCGAGCTCACCATGACCGTGAACACCCTCACCAACGACAAACGCCGTCTTGAAGGCGACATCGGTGTCATGCAGGCCGACCTCGATGAAGCTGTTAATGCACGCAAGGTACACTTCGCAGATCCAACACCGAGCCACCTTGTTGAAATGTAGTTCGATTTTCGTAAGGGCCGGGTGTCTTAGTTAACTTGGTGTCTTAACAAAATCAATAATTTTGTTGTACTTAATTGTTCGCACTCATACTAAATAAGTAGTAATGATCTTTATTCAATCAGGCAGCTGAGGATCGTGCTGACCGACTGAACGCTGAGGTGCTCCGTCTTGCTGATGAGCTGCGCCAGGAACAAGAAAACTACAAACGTGCCGAGACTTTGCGCAAGCAATTAGAAATTGAGATCCGTGAAATCACAGTCAAACTAGAGGAAGCAGAAGCCTTCGCAACTCGTGAGGGGCGTCGCATGGTGCAGAAACTGCAGGTTTGTCAGATTGTGTCAATTACAGTTTTGCACACAAGACAAATCCAGGTACTATGTTGTAGCCTTCAGTGTTAATGCACAAGTAAATTCGAATGATACAATCACCGTTGTCGAGCTTAAAGCTTACGTATTGTCATCTGTACGGGTTTATAAATGACCATCTTTGTTCATGTGGACTATGCTGCTCCCAATTAATCAATATTAGCCAGTTATCACCTATGTCGACTTGCACAGCCTCTTGGTAGGCACTGAACGGTTAAAATCAGCTGATTTGTCCTTTTTGCACTAAACTCCTCGGTGTGTTTTGCGTAGAACCGCGTGCGAGAATTGGAAGCTGAGTTGGATGGGGAGATCCGTCGTGCCAAGGAGGCCTTTGCTAGCGCCCGCAAATACGAGCGGCAGTTCAAAGAACTCCAGACTCAGAGTGAGGACGACAAACGCATGATTCTGGAACTCCAGGATCTCCTGGACAAGACCCAGATTAAGATGAAGGCCTACAAGCGCCAGCTCGAGGAACAGGTAAGAAGTGGCTTTAAACCTCCGAAATCTTTGCTTCCACTTCAGTTACCCTGGTCCCTCCATGTTTAATCTTATTTTTGTGAACACACTTTTTAGTTAATAACTGTTGATAGCCCATTTTAGATTACTTGGGTTCATAAACGATCGTGATAAAACGGTGCATGTTGCAGTTAGGGAATCATCCCGATAGTATTCGCACATTGTCGATCTCCAAAGCGATCTAGTTGGTGGACGTTGAAATTGTGGGTATTAATTGGCAGAGTCGTTCTGAAAGCTCTTAGGATGCCCATTCTGCGTGCAAACGGATGACTAAATGTGTTGCGTTGTAGGAGGAGGTGTCGCAGATCACCATGAACAAGTACCGCAAGGCCCAACAACAGATCGAGGAGGCCGAGCACCGCGCCGACATGGCCGAGAGGACAATCACCATCAAGAGGACTCTTGGAGGACCGGGATCGCGCGCCGTCTCCGTGGTCAGGGAGATGAACAGCGTCTCCCGCAGCAACCGCGCCACCAGCATCATGTAAAACCCCGTTGCTCGACTCCTCCTGACCACGACTGATCGCGACCCTCCTTTTATCCTTTGCCTCCATTAAGAATTACATAACTAAAAGAGTGAGAGAGGGAGAGTGTGTGTGTGAGAGGAGGGCTTCGGGGCGCCTATGTGCATGCTTACATCGCCCCACCCTCGCCTTCCAGTTCTGTGGCTTCTCAAGCTCATCAACTTTCATTCTGTTCGTGAGTTTTCCGCTTTCCCTCCTCCTTCTGTTTCTATCTCTCTCCCTCTCTCTCGTTCTCAATCGAGCCTGCTCTCGCTGGCACAGACGACGTTAGGGTGATTTTACTTCGCACTTTTAGCACCAACATCAGGTGACTCCCCGCTTTCGACTCCGCCTCCCTAAGTTTTCTGTTTCTGTTTATCTGGACGTTTCCGATACCACCACCACCACCACCTCCACCAGTATTGCCTTGTTATGTATTATGTACTAGAAATATTTAAAACGTTAATTGGTCTAGCAAAGACATTTCATGACTCTGGGACGATAAAGTTTCCCGCTTCAACCTCCAAGCATGCCACACACACACACCTGTTGTGGGCCCCAGCATGTAGTCTAGCTCGATTAAGCTACCCTGAAAATGACTGGAGAGGACCAACGAATTGTTGTCGGTGTGTCAGGTGTCGTTCACGCGTGTGTAATTATAGCTGGGATGTGTGATTTAGTGAGTCATAAATGTGCCGGCATCGAGACCTAGGTGAATGTTGAGTTAAGCCACACCGACAGGCAACAGGCAGGCCGGAGTTGCCGCTGGACGTCAGCCGCTAGTTCGTCCAATGCGACCAAATAAAGATCCCTGAATTCAACGTAGGAAATGAGCAGTAAACCATCGCACATAAAGCCCAGCCCTCATCAAATAATCCACCACAAATCCTAGCTATTCAACCCAGAACCTGAACTCATTTAAATCGGATCTTCGGAACTAACATGACGGTAGTTTCGATGGAATATGCAATGACTTCTTTGCGAAAACTGGGGCCGATTTCTTGCTCGCCCGTAAATTTGTAAAAAAAGATTTATGAGTTGCTTTTGATGCATTTGTGCTAAGTCGTGATGATTCACATCCATTAAACCGATCGTTGTATTCGCCGCCAATCTGACCTCCTCTTCACAGCACCCCTATCGATCTTGCTAAACCGTCTGCCCATACACCCCCATGTGTGTGTACAAGCCTACCAAGCTGACCGTTCAGCCATTCGTACTTTTACAGGTTCACACAGACAACCTCATTTAGTCAGACACGTTGTTAGGCGCAGCTGCGCGACTAACACAACCTGGTTGAGCTGCCTGGTAAACGGTAGCGTCTGCCACCTCAGCGACTCAGGCGTGGTGCAAGAGGCCCACAACAATCGGTGACCCCGACGTGCTCTTCACTCGGGCAGGGTTAAGCGTGTGGTGAATTTACCCCTATTTTGTTGTGAAAGGCCGCGCGTCCCGTGGCTGACGCAGCCGACACATGGCGCTTGACTCCCTGGACTTCATTACCACTGAACAAATTTTCGTCGACGAAAACCCGATAAAAACGACTTTGTTGTGCTTTAAAGACGGGGCTACTTTTAACGCGCTCAAACAACTTTTGCTAGCGAGAAAGCATTCAAAACCGCACTAGGGCGCTGCAACAAAATGGTGGCCCCGCTATTGAACACGTCTGGGCTTCCACAAGCTAAAAATCAACGTTTTGCTTAGGTGACCTATGGACCGCTCTGATTAGATTTATCTAACCCATGTATGAGCATTCGCTATACTCACCCCAACTCGCAATTCGCTCCTGCGTGGTTTGCTACTGTTCTCAACCGACTCTCACCTAGTCTTTCAACATCAAATTTACTCGACTCCTGATTTTCTACCTCGTCCATCTCGGACAGCGAACGTAACTACAGCACACCGTCGACTGAACTTTCAGAGGAAGAAACGAGCCATTGATTCAATAAGACTCGTTTCTCACGGCTGCGTTCTCGACTTTGAACGCTTATCGACCTGGCAATTGGCGCTTTTTCTAGTACGACTTAAACGGTGTGGTTATTCGGCGTCTCACGGAATGACAATCCTGCCATCCTTCGAATCTTAACGTGCCACTGTTATAATTCTACATCGCCCGACCGTCGGTCCTGTTTCTGGCCCGTCGCTCAACCTAGCTTCCACCCTATACGCTCGCCTTTATCAACCTTGTTTCGGCTGACTCGACCACACCGTCGGACGACGCCTAATCTCCGGACGTTCCCTAACTTACTGACGATGAACCTCAATTCCCAACACCATGCCTACGACCTACCTTTTAGAAATCCTATTGGAAAGAAAAAGTTCGTCAATTCCATTCAACAAGGGGGAAAGCTGTGACGAGCAGCAAGCGAACACAGCAATCGTGAGCGAACACAATTCAATCGATTTACATGAATACACTTCACGCAACTGTGCTCGTTTAGGGATCGATGTTTAGCCGATCCTACATAAACTGACTTTTTGCGTTGTACACCGACACACACCACCGCCACTGCATCAATAAATTAGTTGAGTTGCGCGCTATCTGCACTTCTGCTCGGCTTTGGGTCGGGTCGGGTCAACGTAGGTTGTCTAATCGCATCAGGAGCTGCCACACATCATCCACGCGGCTTAGTAAGCAAGTTATTACGCTGCGTACCTCACTAAGCTCCATAGCACTTTCAGTCAGATGGCTCCTTTGATTTACCACGCGTGGCGTCGCACATCATAAATAAACACGTCAACAATAAAAACAACAAGCTAATCGATTCTGCTGAGTAAATAATATGAAAATGCTGTTTTTAACACAAAACTGCATTGATGCTTGTTTGGGGCAGCGGGTGGGATCGAGGATAGCGTGGCGGTGAGTATTCGTGAGCTTAAGGCGTTGGTTTGTGTACATAGGCACACGACTGGGGAAGTAGGGAGGTGAACGCGGGTCGCCAATCAATGCAAAGCGGCCATCTCCTCAACAACCTTCACCAGATCCTCCACCTTACACGGTCGCGTTTCTGGGTGCTCATTGAACGTGGAGGCCCCAGCCACACCGAATTCCTCCAATGAAACCTAAATTGAAAAGCATAAGAATGTTTTCCAAACTGGTAAAATGGGGATTTAAAAAGTTAATGAATCGCCATAGGAAAGCCATGTGATTCGACTGTTTGCATTCAACACAGCGACCATTTTTCAGTGGAAACTCAAGACACAAACCCCCCTTCGATTTCGTCCCACGAACATCGCACTCTTGAGTTGAGAGACCCAACACAATACTCCCCTGGTTTTCATCCTGCTAGGTTCAGCAAATTTGCAACGTCACTGCAAATACCTCTGTGCAAAAGTAATTCCGAATCAAACGTTCAGAGTACAAATTTACAGGCGACCATACTTGGTTCGCCCAAAATAACTTACAACTAGGCTCAGACCGCAGATTTTGTTAGCATTGCCTGTTTAATTTAAACCTGATGAAGCCACTTCCAGTAAGAAGTCAGTAGTTTACCATAGCAACCCACGAATGTTCCCCAAAAAGCATTCGACAATGATGGAAACCGAAAATCCACGAACTCTGTCAACGAAATTGTCAAAAACTGTTTGCAGGACGCCACAATGATGCTTACGGGAATTCGCAGTCCGTTAACAACGCGTGCCTTCTCGTCAGGCGTTAGGTCGAGGAAAGTTTCAATGACCTCGCCATCAACAAAGTTGTGCGCCATTTTGATTTTCCGGTGCTCCTTGCAGGCTCGCCAGGATTCGTGTGTGAACCCGCCGACAGGAACGATCAACTTCGACACTCGAGTCTCCACTTCCTTGAGGAAAGCGAACAATACGGGCGACAAGTGGACAATCAGGCCCAGGTACCCTTGGGCGGTGCCGTAGAGGCTGTGAGTCTCGCCGACAGCTTTCCACTTCTCCTCCATATTCTGCATAATCAGGTTACCTGAATAAGGCAATAACACGCCATGAACTGGTGAAAATGCATTACAAGCACTGCCGTTATGCCATCCCTCCAAACTATGTGTGAGATCTTGCAAAACCAGAATACAACGTCAGAATTCCAGTAGCGATTGCAACCACAATTGCCTCACCTCGAACGAATGTGTTGATTGATTCTCCGGTGTGCATGTAAGCACAATCCACCAGAGTCTTCATTTCGGAGGGTGCAGAGGACACCTGATCTCCGTCAGCGCCAGCCTTGGCACTTGCAGACGTGGACGACGCGGATTCAGGGTGGGTGACAGACGCAGGAGTTGCCATGCGCAAGGCTGGGATCACGGGCTCTTGTGTGTTCTCTGGCGAATCCCGTGCTACCACAAAGATGTTCCCGTCGGCGTCACCCGCGAGGAAGTGTTCGTCATCGAGGATTTCTATGCCACACGTGTACCTCGGGTAGCGATGTCTGCCAACCTAGGTCGAAGAATACCGCACCACTTTGACTTTCAAATGCTGCATTAATCACAACCTCGCTCCGCTTGGAGAGTGTTAAACCATTATTGGTAAGCACTCCGCCTTTTACACACGGTGACTTGTGAATCGGTCTAGAAAGACCGGCTGTTCTGTTAAGCACAAAGATTAAAGAGTTGTTCTAAAATGCCCGGGAAAAAACACAAAGTTGGACAGTTGGTTAGCATGTCGCGGTGTATTTTTACAATCATCAGCTTGCCATTATAACCAGTGAAGTTGCCACAATCACCAAAACTAATGTTGATTTAGTGGAGAAAGTACTCACGGCCTCGAAGTTGTTCATGTTCTGTTTGTAGATAAGCAGATTTAGCGAGCGCATCAAGTCACCGATTAGAACGTAGTCGTCTTTGCTTCGTAGATAAAGCACAATTATGTTGTCGTTGTAGGAGGAGGCGAGACGAAGGCTGTCACCACAAACGTCGAACAGGCGTACCTACAACGAGACAGGCGGTGCGTAACAATATCAATTACAATTGCTGCAAGAGGCAAGCTGGTTCGGCTACAACTGCAGTGGTTAAGCATCTTTCCAGGGGGGTTGGTTGTTCGGTGTCGTCCTCCTGCAGGCAAAATATCGCACCTAACGGTAATTGGTTTGTAGCAAGGTAAGTCGATTGCAAGTCAGGAAATTGAAAGGACAAAAGTGTGATTTTATTCCCCAACAAAAGGGAATACTTAGTGCAGACAAAAACACGGAATTTTTTTTTCAAATAACTTAGGAAAGATTTCAATCATTTGGCCCTCAAACAGGCACAACGAGATATGCAGAAACAAAACATCGTCCGGAGGAAGTGTGCGCTTTAGGGTCTGGTAGAACATGGTTTAACAAATATGCGAATGTACACGATTCAGACAGACCATAGATGGCATTTAGCACGATGCTAAAGCGAGTTCAGCAGAACTCCATAAAGAATAACTCTTGCGTCCATTAAACCGGGCGCGTGAAATTAAAACACCGCGTAACAAACCGATATAAATTACAAGCGAATAATTTCAATCAAGCACTCCGCGCCACAAGTACTGAATCCAGCCCAGCTAAGGCTGGGGCTTGGGGCTGATTTAAATGGTTCAAAGGGACTAGTCAGAAAAAAAGCAACGACTGCGAATGTCGGAGTAAGGTTGTCAGGTGTGGCTACTGTCGGAAAAATTGTAAAAGAAAGCAAGAAACAAGCAATTCCAGCATCGAAGTAGAAACTACAACAGTTCCGTCTAGGATTGGAAATAACATGTCAGAAATCCCCAAACAACGAACGTCATTGAAGGGAAATGAGGCATCATTACGAATTGAGGGGTTGAATTTAAAAGATTCTACGATTAGCCTTTTAATCAGCATGCTATTTGCAACCTTGACCCCGTGTGGTTTCTGAATTTCTTTCCGGAGACAGGTCACCACTAGGGTGATTAGGCCGACTGGCCAAATACAGCAATAAGTTCTGACATGGAACAAACTGAACATTTAACACGAACACTGAGTTAATTGCATACTTTAAAAAAAAACAGCATTGAAAAGAAAACTAGTGGAATTTCAAATTCTACTGAAGCGTAATCACCTGAAAATTAGTGAATAGCACTTGTGTTGGAATTTATGGAGGCGGCCCAAGCAAGATTTACAAAACCACACCAAAGTGAGAGTGAGGCATGCATGCTACAAATCCAAGTCCTGACAAAATGCCGTTTTACCGAACTAGTGACGGCGGCGAGAATGCGTCCGTTAAAGTCGAGAATTCGGAAGACGCTGCCATTGACGTCGTGGATAAGAAGGGTCTCCAGCTTCGAAATTTCGGGATTATAACGGAAGAGATGAATTCTGCCCTTTTTGGGTTCGATGTCATCCTTGGCGAAGAGAGCGGTGCCCACGGCATACACCGTGCCCCCGTTCTCGCCCAAATTGATCGACGCAATGCTCATGCCCATCTCCAGGACAGTCTGGCTGTAGTGGAATGTGTGGACGAGCTGGAGCTCCAAGTTAGACTGGTTGTAGATCAGCAAGGAGGAGACCTCAACATCGGGGAACTTCGTTGCAGTTGGCAAGGCTGTGACGAAGCACAAATAAAATCATTGATTTAAAAAAAAAAGTGCAGTGCTGTATTTTGTGATGCCTGTCTGGAACAAAACATTTCCTGTTTATTAAGCCTTTTGTTGACCATTAGAAGGTTAACACATAGATGACAAAATTAGACATTACCCCCAGAGTGGCAAATAGGAAAGGCTTGATGATGGAAACAATTTTGATGATCTTTTGGGGAAAAGTATTTTAACGACATTTAGCCAAAATCTTTAACTAATTTGACAAGAGTGGGGCAGAGTAGTGTGCAAAAGCAAAAGCCTAGGCTCTCTTTAATCCTGCCGATTTCCTCAGTCCCATAGATCTCGGGGTCAGTCAATCTTTCAACACAACTATGTTGCAAAAATATTAACCAATTTTAAGAGAGTGTTTGCGTCAGTAATACCAGCAGATATTGAGGTCAATTTGCTAAATTACAGAAACCTATAGTAGTCGTTTTTTTTTCTATTCAACCAGCATCCAAGAAGAGTCACCACGGATGTGAGTGATTGAGTCAGCAGTGCTTAGACCGTAGTGGCATAGACCTTGTGTACGACACGTCAAACAAGTTGGTAAAAATAGAAACGCAAGTTGTACTTACAGGAGATGGTTTTGGGAACCGGACTGGAGGATTTGTGCAGTTTTGGGGACAGAGAAACCGAGTGGCGGATGGGCTTAAATCCGACACCCTCCTGGAAGACCTCTCGGCGATAGGTGATGACACCCAGACTGCCCGTTTCCGGTTGCAGCGCCAGACGACGGGGCGACTCTCCGAGTGGGATGGTGCGGACATGCAATTTTTGCAAATTGTCCACCGAACCTATCACCAGCCCGGACGGAATCACCAAACAGATGCTAATAAAACAGAAATTGGAGTTGAACTGGGTCAAATAAAGCACCATTTCCAAATGGTCAGTTAAGTGCGCCATGAAAAGACTTGCAATTTAGGCGGAAAAAACATAAACACAAATAGGAGACCGCGTCGAAAAATGATGGCCGTTAGAAGTAACCAGACCCCAGTATCTTGTCGTTTTAGCCTTCCATTGAAACGTCACTTGGCCAGTATCATTGTAAGCATCAGGTTTCAAGGTCTTATGTTACGCCAAGGAGAGCCGAGTTCGACCAATGGCACTTGAAACCGTGAGTGGTTGTAAGAGTAGGTGGAGAGGCATTAAAAGTCTTGCCTACTTACCAATTCGTGTAATACGAGCCGTTGAGAGGGGCCATCCAGGTCACCTCTTTGAGGTTTACGTTCGAAAAAACAAGCTTATTCCGAGTGGAGTAGACGACACAAGGGTGGTTGGAGCACACAAAGATATGCCCTTTGTTGTGAGATCTCCACTGGCTGAGGTGCATAGAAGGTCCAGTCCCAGCGTTTACGCGTTTTGCATCCCGAAGGAAGACATTTCCTGCAAGATGGAGAACTAACGACGATAGACAGCAAATAACAAGTGGCGAAAGTGTTCGTCGACCATGAACATCTGAATCAAACCTACTGGTCGCGGCATACCCAAGAGTACCCAATTTTAATTCGTTCAAACAGACACAAACATCTTACCACTGTAAAACCAGCTGCGTGATTCCCTTTTTACTTGAAACAACAAATAACCTAGAAACTAAGGTGTTGTGGTTCAAATGCTATTTTTTTTTAACAATCGGCTTGATATGAGTGTGCCCGGAACCATTGCTACATTAAGGCTAAGACGAATTGCCGATTGCACAAAGTCTTCTTGGGTGTATTCAACTGGGGAAAATGGATGATGACACACGCATACTCAACACATCGAGACAGACAATCTAACACTGTGGTCATGTGACGAAACGATAATAAAAACATTTTGATGCCAAGTGGCCTAAGAGTCCAGCTAGGTCGGGAGCCCGCGCACAGCTTGCTTTACCAGTATTGTATGTGGGACCGTCAGATTTAGCTCCTATTCTGCTGTAAACCGTTTGTGGCATGGTTAACTGTAAAGCAGCGTAACATAGGCATGGTATTAACTAACCTGAAGTACAATCGATGGTGTAATAGTACACTGAACCATCGGCCATGGCAGCAAAAAGGAAAGCCGCCTCCTCTAACTGGGCGATTAGAATGGACCTGGGAAGAACCGCGGTCCCCGAAGAAGCGATTACCTCCGGGAGGGATTCCGTGTGGACCACTTCAAGCGAGGGGAGCTTCAAAAGGGCAATTCCGTGTCCCAACCATAGCCCGACAGCCACATACTCGGGTTCAGAGTTCTTAGGCAAAGGGTTGGACGTGTCCCCACTAGAGTTGGCCACCGAAGGCGATGGAAGACTTGACGCCGAAGCCAGAGCAGCCCTTACAGCCGCCGATTTATCAAAAGGTGAGATGTCCACACAGGCAACCTCGTGGGAAAGGATGGCGTGGCTGAAGAAATCATTTTTGAATCAATGTATTTGTGAATCATTAGAAGACCATCATTTCTTAACGTGGATGAAACGCAATAAATGGCTTGATAATACTAAAACGAATTAGCCGTTCTAGGTCATTTTTGCGTCATTCCAAGACCGTCAAAATATTCACCACATCCTAGGTCAATGGTCTCATCATCTCTCACAAGGCTAACCTGAATGACGTCAAAGTTCATTATCACGAGAACCATTTCAACTCAAAGATCTAGAGGACGCCATAAAAACACACCGGAATTTCTTCGCAATTAAATGGCCGGATAATAATGATTCGAAGAGCCAATCTGATTCACTTATGTTTGAGTTGTACTGACCTCGGAAAAAAACAACAGTTTAGACCAGCGACCTTGTTAAATCTAATGAAAACCTCACTGACCTATTATAATGGCATTCGATATAATGTAAAACCATGATTTAAATGTTCCAAAATTGCCAAAGATTACTGTCGTATTAGCAAGTAGAATTTGAGACCAAATATATTAGGTACGAAGTCGAGGGATAACAGGACCAGCAGCATGGGACCGTGTGTCCCTAGTTTGTCGTGAAATTACCCAGAGATTATGCGATCTATGCAGCAGCCTTAGCAAGCTTCACCGCAAGCCCTGAAACCACTAGCGATGCTACAGGACAACGATCCACAATGGGACGCTCCTCCTCGCAGGATGCTCACCTGATTTGAGTAAACTCTGGGGTCTCCGAAGTGCCTGTAATGCGCAGGGCGTACAAGTTGGGCCCACTTGCTACGACAACGAGGTCAACATGAGAGGCCAAACAGGAAACCGATCTGTCCGACGGGGGCTTCCACTCGGCCAGGCAGCCCTTCCCCAACAATGCCTGGATACCGATGAGTCTGAGACCAGACGTAGTCGCCTGCAAGACAAGAGACCTTGGGCGTTGGTGGAAGTCAGCTGGAGAAACCACGTCGCAGTGGACTGTCTGTTCGTCGGTCTTGAAACCCTCAATCTGAAGTGCTGTGATGTCATCATCAACCAAACGCAGGAGCCTATAAAATAAGAGCTAGGGTTGGTTTCGAGAAGGGGTTCTGGAAATTACTCAAATCAGTAATTAAAATCAGAGAAGAGAGTGTAGGAATTTGCTCACATTTCTAAGCCAAGTTTTAAAAATTAAACAAGACGCTTCCATCGTCATTAGTACCTAAAGGCGTTAACGAAGAAGCTGCATCCATTTAAATATTATAAGCTTGTTGGTTCGAATGGTCATCGTGATGTGCCACCGTTTTCCGGCCTTTGATATCACTGGTTCCTCAATATTGCGTAAACATGGACGAAAAAGCAAACGATGTCAATAGGTGGCGGCATCACTACTGCATACTTACCTAGTCTTATTGATCGCTAGTGTATTCTCCTTAGGTCCAAAAGGGAAAACCTTTTGAGAAGGAGGCAAATCGAGTTGCACTTGGTGAAATCGAACAAGTCGCAAATTCTACGTGATTGCATAGTTTCATATGACAGGGTAGGTGCGTTACAAGAGCTAATCTTTAAACGTAGAAGATCAGAGTGGGAAAAGTTGCATACGAAAAATGCCCTTTAAAAAAATGTTGGGCAAAATTGTGTTCATCATCCGATTGAGACCCATAGTTGATTGGTCGCTACAAATGACTGAAACCTTCAATACCTCCAATTAAGATGGAACCGGAAAATAATAATGTGCACTTCACTTTCCTGCAGCTCGATATTTCAGATACCGTGGTTTACTTCAATCCAACTGGCTAAAGCTCCGTTTATGTGGTTTTCGATTCGATTTGGCCTGTGTGATTAGAAAAATGAACTTACTGAGTCTGGCCGACCATTGAGATGACGAGAGAATCATCAAACGTTGCAGATTCAAAAGGAAAGCACCAAACACCTAGAAAGAAAAATAAATGCCTTGCATTTGTGACGTTCCTAGTAAAGGAAAAGGAAATACTCACCTTTAATTTGTTCTTGATCGACGGTGGCATGCTCTTGGATACCGATTCCGTTTCTAATGACCCGTAGACTTCCCTCCTTGTAGCAACCGGAACAAGTAATGAGCTGATTTTGGCCTTTGCTCTCTAACAGAACCATATCAACGATGGGTCCGATGTTCGTGAATTGTTCCAGGACCGTAATGTAGCTATTTCGCTCTGGGTCGATGTCTGGATTCAGTCGTATTAGCTGAGAATCGCCCATGAAGGAGCCAACGAAGACCACCCCATTGTCCAGGTAGACAATCGATTCTGGAATAACGGTCTCACCTAAAAAAGCACACTAACTGTTTCGACGGCTCAACATACTATAGGGCCATGCTTAGACCACAACGTATTAAATGAACATAACTTCCACTTGGGGCGTCTATCAGGGACACGAGAAGTCGATTTCCCAAAATGTATTAAGGGAGGCGAATGACTCATTGCACTTTAAGACATGTACGAATAGTGCGGGGACACTGAGGTATTCAATAGGCGGTAATATTTCAAATCTGGAGCTGGGGGCACATTAGTTTACATCAGCCTATTGGCCATTTATCGAAATTAACGAAACAGTTACAAGATGGATGCAAAGTCAAAACACCCCCACTCACCAAGAAGCTCAATCCGTATGGAGCCGATGCGTGCAGAGGTTTGCGTAGTGTCCCGAGAGGACGATGGTGTCGGTGGAATTGTGTTTTCGTCGGGCGGTAGGAGATGAACCATGTACAATCGACCCGCCATATCCCCTAATAGGTAACGCTTTGCATCCACTTGGGCATAACAGACTATTTGACTAAACTAAAAGAAAATTCTACTGGTACTGTCACTATCAGTTGAATGAAAAACTAATTTAAAGAGTGCAGGGATCGTAGTAGACATTGTCCAAGAGACGTGACTTAAATTGTGTGAAAGAGCCTACGACCTTAAAAAAGCTCTGCTTTTCTGACGCGTGCGCAGAGAGAAGTGAGATGCTGAGTAAAACATTGATTTTTACCTTGGTTTGAGGTATGTACTGTGAGATATGGGGAACTTCACGTGTATGGTAGCAAATGATATTATCTCCCACTAAAATAACGCCGCCATAGGGAGCAGGAACTGGAATAAGGAGTTTCGAGTTTGGTTCGATAGAGTCGACGGTAAAGGGCACGGATCGCAAAGCTGGTTCCCTGCCAAATATCTCATAAGTTTTCATGAAAACAACGACCTCGTCTTCATAAATCAATGCAAATGTTGGCAAGCTGTAGCCGTGTAGAAAAGCCATATCCACAATATTGCCTTCTTCAATTCTAAGAAATAAGTAATTGAAGATGAAACAACCTACCTGATACTGTGGGCTTTAACTTTTGGTTCAAGAACATCAACAGAACTTCCGCGGTCAGAGAGGCTGTGAAGAGGGATAACTTTTAGCAGACCGTGATAAAGTTTTATCATAATATAAGTGGCATCTGGGTCAACTAGTGCATCAAACCCCTGATCAATCATGCGCGCACTGTGATCCTAAATAAAGAGATGAAAGGTCTGCTTAAGAATAGCATACTGCTACACTGCCCGAAGTGATGGTGTGAAACTCAATGGATTCATTGTTGCGGACACACTCAATTATGGCAATTTCAGCGAGTTGATTGAGTACGAAAAGGGAATCAACGTTTTGGTCCCTCCGACGGAATAATGATGCGGTGAGGATGTTCGCGTTCAGTGGAACATCCCGTATCTGTTTTAAACCCTCGCTTGTCACATCAAACACCTCCAAACAGGAATTCTTGACGATAATTAAATTCAAGTCATCCGGTCCAGTAAAATTGCCTACAATAGTAGCACAGAGCTAAGAACACAAGTAAAATTTTATCGAAGATATCTATATATTAGTAAAAAGTGAAGTAGGAACTTCGAAAGAGACAGTCGCTCTTTAAAAATTCTTTTTAACATTCCAGCATCACAATTTACTATGTAATACAATTCAGATAAGTTCAACGTTTCAGAAGAAAGAGTCCCTCTAATCAGCGCAAATTCTGATGTTATAATTTTATCATTTTAGAATGTACATTTGAAGTGGCGCCCACCGCCAGCCCCTAATTCATCAAAATGAACTTCACTCACAACTAGCAAAAATCAAGTAGTTTTCAACAAAATTACTCTATCCAGAAAACCGCCACCAAGCAACACAAGATATTACCGTTAATCCAATTATTTGCAATTAGTTAGGTACTAGTAGACGTTATCCAACTCAATCAGGACCGCCAGAAGTGTAATAGCCCCATTACTAATAGATGTCACAAAGAAAAAAGGACCACAACAAATTAAGGCAACCAATGAATGGTTTATTGCATTTTACTGTGATATATGCATGTTAAGATGAGTGGGCCACGTGTAAGTTCTATCTGCTGTTAACAAGAATATCCGCATCTACAAAGGTTGGGTAGGGGAATAAGTTCAATAGATTTAGATCTTCCGATGCACGAATCTCAAAACTAGGGGAAACGGAAATTTCGTGCATACAAATTGCTACACCAAAGGACCCAGGATACTTAATTATTCCAGTAGCTTCCCAGAACTTGTAAATATCATTAATTTTATAGAATTATCAGGATCGTGTGTGAACGATATTAGTTTTTAACCAGAAAACCGGACTAATAGTAATCACGAAATCGATTGATAAAGGTCCTCGGTTTTTACTGATCATAATTGATCCCAAAATATCACCCCAACACAACAATTAACATTAGGCTATGATGGAAGACTCCCACCGACCTAAAAACTCTGACATATACGTAGACAACGTAGTGAATGCGACACATTAATTTACAGTCAATGGATGACACCAATCCCACATTAGTTAAAGGAACACAGTAACCACGTCAAAATGAAGAACGCTGACATATTTGGAGACAGACACAAACGTTCACCCAGTTAATAGCCAAACCAAATTTGATTACAATGACTAAAAATGTAAATGAAAATATGTCACAACAATCTGTTAAATGTCAAGACAAGTGAGAAATTCGGACCTACAAAATTCTAAAGAACAAAAACTGGCAAACCAGATGCCTGAGTATACAACCATTTTTTGAATATTTGCCTTTAAAAATATTCGTTCACAATCAAACTATGTAATCATGAGAAAACCATGAACAGTAAAAACAATAATCTGAGAAGCACGAAATTAGTAAATGCATATTCGAAAGCAAAATTACAGAATTGGATCACGCTACCCCCATAAAAAACACTTAAAACATACCTGTAAGAGCTTTAGTAACTGAGGTCGATCTCTGTGTAGTCACATGGTAATACTGAGACATGTTCAACGGCGGAATGCAACCTTTGTATTAAGGCTAAGCGGACTAGGAGTTTACGATGCGGTTGGCCAGAAATCCGATTTTGTAAAAGGCGGATTGTGGACTCGATCTACAAAATGATTCAAGGTCATTGTCTCATTACCTGTTGCTTTCGTTTGAATACTTCGATCCATCAAGAAAATTCTACTACTTTGTAGCTACGAAAAAAGTATTATCAATGCAACAGAGGTCCATTAATAACACAGAAATCAAGTCTATAGTATAAACGAAACAAAGACAAATATTTCCCTTCTGCGATTTCCCCAATAAGTTATTAGTATTTTGTTAAGGTCTTCAAAAGTTTTCAAAAACAATAATGGCCAGAGGGACAGCACATAGCTTTCGTATCTGCCTTTTCAGGGGCATTGTGCTCCGAAAAACCTTCATATTATACCTAAAACTCAGATGACTATGATTGTCAAGACCACAAAACATCATAAGATATAATGTCGTGATTGCAGTGTCAAAAAATTTGAGATCAAATTTCGTATTTTTGAATAAAAATCATTGTCCAAAATAAATTAAATGAAGCTTTCCAAAGTCGACATATTTACTTTTCTTTATTCAATGTAACAGCATCGTAAATAAACATTATTCTACATTAAATTTACTTGCGATGGCGTTTTAACATAAAACGTCACGACCAAAAGTTGTACTTCGTTTGATTCAAACATTGTGCCAGTACCGGAGATGTTCGCGTAAGGTAAGTTTGCAGTTAACCAACTTTTGTAGATTAATTTTACAAAACATGGCATTCTGATTTGCACCAGGTTTCTTTCACTGAGAGACAAGCCAGATAGCTTGTCTGTTTCCGAGTGGCGGAATAATAAATTATCATGCATAATCATAACTATCTCAGGTAGAATTTTTTGTTACAAAAATAGTTGATAGATTTAGCAGAGAAATTTTGTTCTAAACAACATTGGATATCAATTTTCCATTTATTTATTATTATGCTACAAATTAAACATCTTAAATTTACAAGGCTTTTGCTGTTCTGAAGTTAGTTTACAAAGACGGTGAATTATTTGTCCTAAAGGATAAAGAACGAAGTTTTAGGGTAAGTCTAAAGAGAGGGTATTGTAATCTTAGAGTACTCCTCTGTAGATTGAAAGGTGAACTAGGACAATGATCCGATAGCACAATGACTAATAAGTTGAATTTTTTAAAAATCGTAAGCTAGAGCACTATATTTTTACGTCAGTGCATCTTCAACATTTTGTGAATGACACCAGTGGGTCGCGGCACCTGCTTTCCATTTATTTTCGAGGATTATACAGTGGGATAAAACCGTTTATATCTGTGATTAACTTTATTTCACTTGTACTGTCTTACTTGGTGTGGTCAGTTTTTCGAGAAGATCATTTTAAAGAGTGTGCAATTTAATTGGTTAATTAAACATTACCTTTTTAGTTTGCGAATTTAATCTTGCATTAAAAGCGAAAGATCTTTAGCCAAGATATTCAATCCAAAATCGTTTCTATTCTGGTATCAAAAAGATTTACGGCACATAATAATTTGATTTAAAAAAAAACATTTTTAAGAACATTAATACAAAAATCTTTAAATCATTTTCCCTCAATAATTCCATATTTATAATATTAAGCAAATTCATAGCAGTGCTGTAATTGGTCTATATTGCCCATACAATTGGTACGGTGCCGTTGTGCATGCGGTCTTCGTTCGATGGTTCTGTTGGTTCGACGTAAGTCGGCACTGAGGATAGCACTTTAAGTATGTATATTTGTCTCTTTGAAAAATATACAGATCTATTAGTTTTTTTACTTGGCTTAGTACTGATCTGCTATGCACTCTTCTGTTTTTAGTCTTTATTCTGTAACTTCATCACTGTAACTACGAATTCACTGATGATAGCTAGATGACTAAAGCACATTTGTTTGGTGCAGTACGTGAAGGTTTTGTAAAAATTGTATTTGATCTAAATTTTCACCTCATAATATTAGTGCTTATTAAAAAAAAGCCAAATTTGTGAACATTAGCAAATAGTATATAGGTAGACTAAATGTAATACAAGTAATTCCGCTATTGTTCCCATTTCGCTATTTTGGTTGTGCTGTTTAAATTCTATGACCATTCTCCTTATTTTCAATGCTAAATTAAGCAATGCAATGTTTTTTTGTATTTAAACAACCATGTTGCTTCTTTATTGCCTAGTTGCGTTTATGTTCCACATCTGTGTATCCTCAGAAGCTTATATCTTGGATCGAAACTAGTGTGCTTTTCCGAATTGATGAATTTTGTTTCATTAACAGATTACATAAAGTTTAGTGTCATTTCCTCATTACGTCTCTTCACATGCTACTTAGTCTACTTAGTTGGCTATATTTGTCCATTTTAAGGGCTTTGTATAGTCTTGAGTAACTTGTATTTGCCCAATATCTGAGCTATGTCTCCTTTTCTCCCTAGTTTCCATCTTAATTTCGTCTTTCTGACATTTCTATGTTTAAAATCCTGCATAAACCTGTTGATCTTGCCAATATTTCTATTTTAGTACTTGTTTTTCCTGACGTCACAAAAATGGCATCATCAAGGCGTTAGGCTCTCATATTTGCGGTGATAAAGTACCAGACTACCCTCACGGTCTTCAAATCTGTGAATCTTGTGAAGGATTTTTCAAACGAGCAGTTCAAAAAAGTCCTATCTGTGTTCAGAAATTGGAACTTGCATTATTGATCGCATTCATAGGAGACGCTGCACTTACTATCGCTTCAAAAATTGCCTCCCTTTTGTTATGCGTATAGGCGGTAAGTGGAAAGGCATATGATTGAAATGAAAGTTAATTTAATTTTCTATTTTCCTGTTTATTTCGTTCCGATTAGCCGGTGTTCAACCACACCCAATATAGTTTATGTTTGCCTAAGAAGCATGCATTCATCTAAGCATTATTAAACTGGTTCAGATGGCTCACTAGTGGTGAAGGCCTATGCAAAATAATTTGCGTCATTTTAATACCTTTCGTGTTCTGTAGCAAATTCCTATAGCTTTAGCATTTCCGAATCAAAGAAAGTTTGTTTGCTGTTTGGTCATAAACCTGTATCATGTTTAAATGTAAACGCATATGTGGTATCGCCTTTTATTTGTGGGGTTCTACGTCTCATGTATAGAATGTTGATTTTTATCCAGGCTTTGTTTTGTTGCCTCAGAAATCTGTCTAATAACACCTCTCTATACCAAATTATACTTTACTTAGTGACTTAACTGCCACTGTCCAGGATTCTACGTGGATGTTTTGATATTTTGAAATCTACCAATTTTGGTTTTTTGCAAATTTGCTTTTATTGAGGTTAAATTTACGTAATACAACTTTGCAGCATTTCAAAAACGCCTTATTTCTAGTTCATCCAATTAATCTCTATAACAGTATAAGGCCTTTCGGACTAATAATTTCATCACATCTGGCAACTTCAAGAATGGTTCGGTAGGTATTTCTAGGTGAGATCAACGCCAGTCCCAGTGTGTTCATAAGCGGACTATTAAGATATCCGTGTTTCGATTGTTAATATTCTCAAATGTTAAGGTCCACCAGTATTTGATGTAACAGTAGGGAAGCCTGTTCCGCAGCATTTTGCCTTTCTTTTAAACGTGAAGTCACGATCAAAGGACAAATGAAATGACAGATTTGTGCCCGTTTCGTATGGAATGAATGGTGGAGGCGGAGGTCAACCGTTCATAAAATTTCACGACATAATTTATGCTTGGTGTTTGCTCGAAGCTGAGTGTTTTCACCTTTTTTCCTATGCTATGTCTACTCCTGTCACGTTTCAATGATCCTGCGGAATTTCTTGCTTGCCCTTCAGCTGTTCGCGAGGATCGTGTTCGTGGCGGAAGACTTCGGCGCACCAAATCAACCCCCTCACCTCCTCCTCCCTCTCCCGAGGGAAGTGAAGGCGACAATGTTGCTGCAACAGAAAAGAAACTGGAAATCTGTAAAAATCCTACCAGTGAGCCCCCATCTCCCCTAGACGCTGGCCTTAGAGCAACCTCATGTCCCAGCCACGATGCTCCATCCTTTGAGCAACAGTCCCAAAAAGTGTACTGGAATCCCTCTGCCTCCGTTCCATCACCATCTTCTGCGTGTAGCCTTAAGTGAGTTTAATCCCAATTCCGACTTCCGGTTAGAGTGAATTTTCTAACCGTCTAAGTTTTAACTTAATCAGCTATTTGGAGATACCTATTTACTCTCACTCTGTTGCTTTTAAATTGTATCTTCGGCGTGCTCCTCCGCCAAACATCAAGCTACTCCTTATCTCACCTAGGAACGAGGCATTATTAATCAAGCTCATGGCTTTAGTTATTGTATGCTTTTTGAACTCACATGCAAAAACACTAATTTTGTAACCAAAATCCCGTCTGCATGGTTATCCCCATGTTGCAGTGTCTTTCCTAATATCTACTGTGGGCGTTTTGGGCGCGATGTAGTTTGTTTTTCTTCGTACCAATCAAATTTCACGCTCTCTAAGTGTGCACAACGGCTGTTTCCGTCATGTGGGATTGGTGTTTTTCTCAGCCGCCAATGCGTTGACGACGGGGGTGAGTGACAAATCTGCCGTCTATTGTTGCTACTCATATTGTTTCCCGTAGGAAAATAACCTGAGACTGCCTTTTACCTCTTTCTGAAATGCGGTTTCCATTAGTTCTCGGATGGTAGGTCCCACCATTTAAAAAAATTGGGGATTTTTTACCAGGCATTCGTTGTTAGCATTTGGTTAGCATTTGTTGTTCCCCTAAACAGTTGGTCGTTTTCCACTATTCATGACATGGAATGCGACATTGGTGTGTGAGTCCGTTATTTCTAGTATTCTTTTGTTGCATTTGCTTCCTCTAGTTCCATTAACCCCCAACCTGAGTTGAAGTCGGAAAACTGGAATGCGCCTAAATCCACCGCCGGACCAAATGGGCCTCTGCGTTCGTACATATCTGCAGCGACTCCTACTTCAAACCACCACGCTCCTTACACACCCTGCTCCTCCACTTCTTCGGCCTCTGTTTCCGGGCTTTACGAAGGGTCAGCACTGAAGAAGGAGATGGGCGACAATGGTGCCTACCTTGCCCCCACGAATAGCGAGCCGGCAACAGAAATTCCTCTCATGGGCGCCGGAGGATCCACCAGTATGAACGCAAATGGAGACCAGACATCTCTACCACTGGCGGATAAGCTCCAGGTGTGCACTTTTCCTGATACTTAACGATTCTTAAGATTTTATGGTACCCTTGTGATTCCATTCTTTGTTTTGGATTCCTCCTCACCTTATCAAGCTCTATGCTATAACCTCGGTTCGGTTCATTAGGACTACTGGCTGAACCTCACACGGAAACCAGCCTGGTCACAAATTATCGACAAATATCCCCTGAAATGTTAATCTTTCTCAATACTGTTCATTCAACTTGCATTTTTTACCTCAAATATGAATAGCTTTAAATGGAAATAGTGCAAAATTATATATAACGGTTTTGTTTTTGGTAGTTGTCTTTACTTACTGCCTTTTTACGTCACCCTTAAGTACCCCTACCCCCGAAACACCTCAGCTCCCAGTACGAGTCAGCCTGGGGCGCTGTGGCCCCCGCGAACCTCATCCACCTCGCGTCCCACCGACTACTACAGACCGCCACCTTCAAAGGCCAGCGGCAGATTTGACACTGTCGACGGCGGAGGTTACTACACCACGGCTGGAGAGAACGCCTTGGTGACAGAGCCGGAGAATGTGGAGGAGAGCTTGGAGGAGATTTCGGAGCTCGAGGGCGAATTGTCCTCCGAGGAGGAGGCGGCCTTGGAGGCGGAGGGTCTTGGCTTCGGCGGCAGCAGCAGAAAGCCCGCGAGTGTTCCTTTCGCAGGCATTAACTTTGGCCAGCTTTTCTCCGCTTCAAACGCTCATTCGGAACAGTTGATTATGCTGGCTAAGCTCTTCTATCCAGTAAGTTTAATGCGAAAACTTCCTTAACTAGTTTAAGTAGTTCATTTGACTAGAATAGGATCATTACTTCGGGTTGCCTTGCTTTTGGCCAATAACCGTATAATTCACTTCTGTAATGCGCACTCAGGCCATATTTTGTGTACCGCATCTAGTGTGCTTCCCTGCAGTTGTGATCTTCCCGTCTCTGGTCCCATTATGCTTTTGCAGTATCTTCTATGCTTCCAGGCTGGTCAGGATATCCCCTCGATATAAATAGATATTTGTTTTGATTTTTTAATCAATATCGCATTCCATTTTTTGCAAACCGATATCGATTGCACTTTAGAACTCAGCCTGTTAAAATCACATTTAGGTGTGTAATGCACCTTAGCTTTTTGCATTGAAGCGCATAAAATATTTTCAATGCGTTTTCAGTTTGTATGCTACTCACAAGGATGTAAGGTGTATTCGTCGACTACTTTTGTAAAGTATGGGCTTTTCCTCAGAATTCCGTGACATCTGCTGTTTCAGGTGTTCGGTTTTCTTCAACGCGCAGCGCACTTATTTCCACCAACAATTTAATTCACCACCTAAGCTGTTTTTTGTCAGTTGCTGATTTTGCTTTAAAGCAAAGTTAACTTTAAGATGGTAGCCACTTCCTTGGAAGTAAATCGGGAAGCTTATTTAGCGCACTCCTTTGGCCTTGGTCTAGATGCTCTGCGCTGCTGTGTGTAATGCTATATATCTACCAGCCTTTGCCTTTATCAAATGCGGCTTTTTCCCCCACACAGAAACTCAAGGAGTACCTCCTTCGAGCAAGTGTTCAGGGCGAGCTTTGCGTCAACCCCAACGACGGTGTCTTTATGTCGCCCGATAACGAAGGCGGTCCCAGTAGCTTGGGTCTGTCGGCAGCACTGCCCGACAGTCCTCTTGAGAACGTGCTCTGCAAGCTCTTCAGCATGCTCGAAGACTGTCTCTTTCACATGGTCGATTGGGTCAACCGGACGGAGGTCTTCCGAGTAATTCCCGTGAGTTCTTTGTTCTTTTCGAAGTCATGCTCACCATATTAACTTTAGGCCTTGATACCTCGTACCGCTAAGACAGTTCGTTGTTAGTAGTCTTCCAAGGTTCCAGACGATACAAGACTGCGCACTCCCTGAAAAAATGATTTTGCACGCGGTCGGAGTCTAGCCAACTATTTCAGGTACCCTTTTAGTCCATGCACCTGCCAGTCATCTGTAGTTGATAATTTACTATTCCTCTGTTGCTATAGCAGCACAGGCATTCTCATAATGCTTTCATAAGCGGTTAAAATTTTCTCAATACCCAATGAGGCGTACTGCTGTGATCGTTTTGTGTGTGTGTGTGTGTTTTTTATGAGTCCCTAAATACGGCGGTGAAACGCAGATGCGTCTCATAAATCTACACCCATCCGTTTTTGGCCAGAATCCCCGTATACTGGCCAAAGCTTCTTGTACTTTCTAGAGGCAAAATATCGCCCCACACAGCTGTGCCCACGCTTAAATGTCGTAAAAGCCCCTTTTATTTAATATGCCCATAACCATAAAACCGTGCGCTTCGGTGTGTGCGCTGTCATGAGTTATCGTGACTTTTATGCTTCATTCCTAAAATAGCGCTTTCTCAGTCATCGATATCAAGCGGCTATTTTGTGTAAGCAGCTTTGGCTAATCCCAAAATACATTCTCGCTCCTTGGCATCTTACCAACATGGTTCTTTTGTTTGTCCACTTTAGTAATCTTTTACCCAGGTCAAATTCTCCTACGTTATTAGTTTTGTGCGGTGCTGGTTATATTTTTTCTGTTTATAAAACACGCAAATTACGTAACTGCATGTTTTTTTTTCAAATAAGTTCACTCAACTATTGATGCCGGGTTCAATAAATTGTGTCTAACACCCTTCCGGTGCACGTTCGAACTACCCCACTCGGTCGATAGATGGTGGTCTTGCTGTACTTACACTTCGATGTCTAAGTACTTCGCCTCACTTTTCTACCACCAGTTGAAGCAACTATAACTGTAGTCAAGGTACTGCTATTTCACACCGACGGTTTGTACAAATATGTTAAATGCCTGCATTTTTGGATTTGGAATAGCTTAAGTGGGTTTAACTGCAAGTTTCTTGATACCCCTTTCCCATGCACCAGATGATATTCCAGCCCTGGAGTGGCCGCGACAAACTTTCGCCTTTTTTGAACTTCAGGTTAGTAACCCAACAGCAGTAGCACTCAACATAACATACATGTGTACAAGCTAGTAGTCAAATTTACTACTAACTTTCGGACTTGGGCTTCCGGGCTTTGCGCGCCTGGTTTCCTCAGTGCTTTCGTTTGTTGTTGTGCGCTTAACTAGCCCGTGTAATTACTCAAGTTATGCCTTCGCCATCCAATGTTGCCTGAATCTTTGTCGGTTGGTATAGGAGCCAAAGCAAACAAACAGTTAAGAGGCTTATCTTTTTACGCAACAATATTTCCCCTTAGTCCCTCTCATCTTGCGCACAACAACGCACATATATCCGCCCTGGCTTGTTGTAGTGGTATTAAGAATGGCCTCATCTTGGACTTCTATTGGGCCGATTGCTTGAATCCAGTGGTCGTCATTCTATCCCATCGTCAGCCATTGTTTAGGCTTTGCGCAGCTACCTTTGGTTTACCAATGGAGCTTAGTGGTATCTTGAAATTTATTCAATTTATCTCCAGCTGTTACATCAACTAAACCTATAATTCACTATGGCCGACACGTCAGCTTCACTTGAATCACCAGCGCAAATAATTCCTCTAATTTGCATTTCTAATCGCTTTCGCAAATTACACCGTTGTTCCCGTTTCGCGTAGATTCGTGTGACTCCAAGGCCTCCTTGTTTGCTCCATCGGTTATTTGAACGTCCACTGCAATGCATTTCACTAATACAAGGGCCAAGAAAAATCCATTTGTTTCTCATTGGCCTTAGATTGGGAATATGTAGTTAAGTGCCTAAAATATCATTGGCTCATTTGGTTGTTTTCCAATTTTGTCTGGTAGATTGTGCTTCATCAAGCGTCCTTCATGAAATTAAGTCAGTTCTCCCCAATTCAAATTGAACTGAGCATTCGTTGGTGCTTAGATGTCCTTAAGCGGTTTTCGTGGTTAATGTGCACAAATGTTTTTATTCGTGAATAACAACGTTGAAAAATGAAGTTTTTTTTTGTCATCGGGTCGTCCACGTTCACTGTACTGTACTGTCATTAACGTAACCGGTGAGCAGGTGGAGACAGTCTTGTCCTGTGGAAAATACAGCCTCGATGCAGTCGATTATGTCCGTTTTCATGCCCTCATCTTTGCAAGTATTTTCTTACCTGTAGGTTGAGGATAAAATGCAGCTTCTGTACAGCAGTTGGAGCGAAGTCATCGTGATTGAGTTTTTACAGTGCTTGATCCTCAACCTTCGCATGGACGACAGAGTGAGTATTTTTTTTTTAATAAGTGTCATTACTGAATCAATGCACAATGTACTCTTTTTTTATTTTGATCTGTTTTTTGTTCCCAACTATGTGGCTTATCCTCTCAGCGGTTTACCAGTCACGTGCCAGTTTCCCATGGCAAGCTCGTCTTTCATTTCCACCCTTGAGCTTTACGACCTCTGTTTTCCGCTGTTTTGATGAGCTACCTAATCCCCGTACCTTTTGGTTTAGGTATTAAATTGAGGCATGATCTTTTTCCTAAATGTAGTCGTATTTTTTACCCATTAATTGGCCGATTGGGTCTCATGTAAACTCTATTGATAAAAAAGATTTTCCCTATTGTCCCAATGCTAGTATTAGCTACGGCTAGCGGCGTATATGTGCTAATTGTAACTGTAGGTGTCTTAACTGTAGCAATTGCGGCTGTAGTAGGTTGTAGTAAGTAGCTTAGTAGAGGAATTTCACGAATAGCATTTTTAACTTTGTTCGGCCTTAAATGGTTAGGGGGGACCAGGTACACCGTAGACTTGGACAATGGCTTCCAAAGGCCTTATATATAATCTATCACCGCATCCATCACCACTATAAAGTTGCTACAGACGAAAGGAAGCTTATAAGATGCTGTAATTTGTCACAGCTACTGCAAATACACGCTTAGTACTCTGAAGAGGACGTCTTGTGTTGGTTTTGAGCACGCATAGCATTAAACTGTGCTCCACCAAACGCATCGAATGTTGCCCACGCAAAGAATACTGGGACCAAAGTACTTTGTTTCGTTCCCTGCACTACGTTTCCTTGGTGTTTCATGAACAAGGGTTTCGGAGGATGCCTTAATTACGAATGCGCTGTAGAAGTCGTGGTGTTTTTTTTGATAACGGTGTCAATTATCGAGGGATATGAGACAAACGTTAAACGCGATTCGTTTTATTTAGGTGTACGCATTATTCCAATGCTCGGAACTAGTGCTACAATCCTGAGCACCACTGAAGGTGCGATACTTGGTGAAGTAACGCGCAGTTTCAAAGCGGTGGTAACAGCTAGAGAATTGCTGTTGCATTAATTGCTCCGGTTCAGGCATTCTTGTGTGCCCCCTCGACAATGCCGCCACCTCATTAAAGCTGTCGTTAGTCACGTGTGTGGGTGTTGCGAGTGGGAAGGTCTGTTCGTGGTATCCGCACGAACCACCCCTCCCTTCTGCACCTCAGGCCATCTCGGCTATTATTCGTGTCTATTCACACTTATTTGCGGTTGCACCTGCGCGTAGGATTGTTGGCGTGTTACAGGTGGAAAGCTTCACACTGTGGGTCTTAACTCACGCAAAATTACTACATAAAGAATTATTTTTGGTGTAAATAGCTCAAGAAATTATGGTCTTGTAGCTACTAATTAAGCCATAATCATCGCCAGATATTGTATGTGCGCAATTAGGTATTTTATTAGACCTTTGTATGTGGTAAACGTCGTTAAAAGTTCTACCGGTAGTCATTCTTCTACCTTACCATTTTTTTATAGATAAAAGTGCTGTTTCTATTTTTTTGTTTTGCCACTTAAACCGAACCAGCATTTGGTGATTGAGTGAATGAGCAACGCTTCACCCGTAAATCAACATGTTCTTTTACTGCGTTGCCCTGTTTCAGCCCCTCGGTGTTATGAAGGCGGACTCAGGGAGCCCCGGCGAGCCGTCGAACCGCGATTTGTACTATCTTGTCAAGGAGCTGATCGAGTACCTCCTGGCGTCTAGCGACGACAATCAACGACTACACGATTTGATTGCACGATTCGACATGCTACGACTCAGCGGCCACGAGTTCACCTGCCTCAAGTTCCTGGTTATTTTCAATCCCTACAAACATGGTCAGTTTGCGCTTAGTGTGTAGGCACTAGAATATTTGGTTCATTTAATTCTCTCACCCTGGGTAAATGTATTTTACCTCTTAAATGCCCTGGGTGAATCTACCTGTTGGCAGATGCGTTTCATTCGTGTGCAAACTTTCGCAATCGGCCTTGCAAACTAGGAAAATCCACCACGACGGGAACGCTTTTGAACGTTTCTTGCCCGTACCGTATTCCAACCAAATTATTGATTTTTGTCGAAGCTTCCGAAATTCCTATGGATCCTTGTTGGAAATTCCTGGTCTCTCGCAAACCCAAATCTGTCTCCTGCCTCTGCGTTTGCTCGTGTCTTAGGTTGTGAAGTAGATCTCTTTTAACTAGTGGGATTTATGCCGTGGCTGTCGAGGTCTGATTATCCAATTACATTAGTGAACCAGCATTGACGCCTAGCCGTTTGTCTCGGCCGCAAAAACTGGTTTCGATTCAATTCACGTGAAAGGTAACCGCCTGCGTCGTGGCGTGGCGGATGGCTTCTTGCGACGAGACTGCCTAGGCGAGTTTTGTCTTCCTTGCAGCGTGTACCCACGCGCACATTCTGCAAGTTTCCTGTGCTTTGATTAAGCCGTCATGTGGTAACTTCACCAAGCAAATAAATCATGTTATTGTCGATTTTGACAGCACCCCATATGAAGCAGTTTCCGTTGGTGTCTGGCGTTAATGGTGTCTGGAAGTCTGGTGGGCATTTGGTCGATTAGTTTTGCCATTTTCGTGCTTCTGGAGCTGTTGCGGGTGCCGATTTTCTATTTCGAGTAAGCAAAAGCCGCTTAACTGTGAGTCGCCTGGACGAGACCATCCATTCCCCACCGACACGACGTGATTTTAATCAACTAATCAGGCATGGGCGCGCAATTTTTAACAGGTCCGTCGTTTCATTCGATGCTGGGTCGAATTTTCTTTCACCGGAAGAATGAAGAGCCTGTCAGACCGCAAGAATCATCAGCACGTATTTAGTAGATTGATGTGTGTGAGTATTCGGCCTGTGATGTTGACCGTTTTACCCAAATTGACTTACCTGACTCAACGATCACTGAAACGAACATGAGAGCGGGATCCAAGACGCCCAGTAATGTAATTGGTTACGCATCTCCTCACAAGGGGTGTATTCGGTGTCACCGCACCACCCCAATTTGATTGTTGAACAGCAGGTCGCCGAAATTGGACATGGAGGACATTCCAGCAGAAGTCGGCCAAACAGCAGGGCCATTAAGTCTCAAGGCTTTGTAAATGTGAACAATCTGTTTTGTCCAGTGCCTTCCCCCTTGTTCACTGTTAAACATTAGCAAAAAAGTTGCCGTGCCGTCGGCTTGTCTTTGAAGGTAGTCGCCCAATATCCTGCCGCTTATGTTCGGGTCCCAAAGGCATGATGATTTTTAAATCGGTCCCTGTATCACACCATCCCCACTTAGTAGGCAGGCTGGTTTTGCAACTGGTAGTGCCGTATTTATGACCTGTTTTGGAAAATCTGTGGGCCTTATCGTCTGTCTTTTAGGAAGTATGTCTGATTTTAGTATGTCATTCAAATTGGATTAGCGTTTATTGAAGTGTTTCGTATTTTTAATGATTTCACATTTACATATCGGTACTTGCAAAACAAAGGCCAATGTTACAGCTGTGTTTTGAAACGCTTTCCCAACTGGCATAAAATTTGTACTTAAGAATCATAGTTTGCTAATTTGAAAAGCATCAAAAGTGCGGCTGCTCCTTTTTCCAGCTCAGCGCTCTTATAGCTGTAATCACTTCAAGAAACATTGTGTGACCATCGTCTAACAATTTATGTGGAAAATGGTTTAGCGTTTTTTTTTTTTCATGCAACTTCACACACCATTAGGGCAGCAGGTGGTGCGTAGGCCTTGGAAAATGTCGGCACTCTTGAAACGGAAGTCACGTGGATTGCATGTGGTGCCCTCGTATTCACTTCTGCCTCGGTTGATTGTAAAATGCCTGGGTATTTTCGACCAGTGTTCGCAGGTAGTAGAAGTAGCATCACGTGCTTCGCAGCCACGCGAGGTTCGTGACAAGGTTTCAGGTGGATCAAGGTGTTGGTGCTCAAACGTTGGCGACTTATTTTGCCATTCTCCTCTCTGGTTGTGCTTTAAAGCGGAAAGAACAACGTGTCGACCAGGTGTTCCGAATTTGCTGTCTTTAAACCTATGAATTATCATTTTTTCAGTGCATCTTCAATTCGCCTTATAGCGGCGCCTGTTTTCGAAGTTAGCTTTGTTGGAAATAACTCGGTTCTGGTAGCTTACGGGGGTGTGGAACAGGAATCAGGCCGTCATGAAGCAGTGCCTTTTTTGTTGAATCAAGTCCATATGTTTGCAAGTTGTGTAAAGCAGCCCCTTCGTCTCTAGGTCCGTTTCTTCCGACATCCTGATTTGTTTAGAGCTAAACTTCCACGACAAGTCAATTTCTCAACTGCCATGGTGTTGATTGTGTTGCGAAATTTAACATGTGTACTTGTTAATATTTTAGGGCACTTTCTTTTGTACTTTTAATCTTTCTTCTTGGGTGGTTAGAATGAGTTTATTTGCCCATTCCTTAAACGCCTAATCATCACTGCTGAGTAGACCAAGGGAGACATTCAGCGGATCACATGCCCCGATTTGTCTACTCGGTTGCCTCGATTTTCGCTCGCTGTGTCACTGTGGTAGTGTCGTTGTTCTAAAAGCAGCCCAACGTCTACGGAATGTCCGAACGTGCTCTATCGAACGGTTTTCAAGTCTGGGGCTTTTTTGGTGCTTCTCGCGTGTCACCTGCTTATCTGTCATTAACCGGATGCGTTTCCGCCTATTTTAAGCCCTCCGACCGTCCGCCAAGTTTGTTTGTTTATTTAAGGATGCACCAATTTAAGGTGCCAACTTCCTGTTGTGTACTTCACCTCGCTAATCGCTAATTGTGTCGATTCGTATCGCTTGTAAGATTTAAATTTGTAACAAACTTTTGGAATCCATTTCGGTTTACTTTAACCCTCACCAATCGTCGTGCTAATTTTTTGAAGTATTGCAACCCAAATTAGACTGAAGCAAGCGTTGGCCTTAAATAACCCGTCTCCAAGACCCACTTATCAAAAAATTAACCACTTTGTAAGGCCCCAAAAGCTGTTTTGCTGTTGCCTTCCTTGATTCTCTGATGGACTGATATTTCTAGCGTGAATAAGTCTCACGCTTCACTCCACCCACCCGCACCGGTTACCTGGTGAGGTCACTTCGAGGTCGTTGCGCCGTCTGCGCAGCGTCGCTATGCGGGTGTACCGGGTAATCTGCGACCGGTGGAGTCGTGCGATCCGTCGTCATTGACATGCACCTCGTAGCCTCCTTTTTTTGCAAATGACACTCTATTGAAGGTATTTTTTATGTTTCATCGGCACCAGTTCCTAAACATCAGGTTTTCGCATACCCCACACTGCTTTTACACATGTCTATGAACTCCTCATTTGTGGCAGGATGATAACCAGAAACTAATACCACATCATCCGGCCCTCAAATCAAACCGTCTTACCGTGAATGCGTCCTACGGCTCTTGTGTTAGATCAACAGCAATGCTAGGCCTCTGTGATTCCAGCCACTGCCACGCGTTCAGTGTGATCTTCCTTTGAGCCGTTTGCTTATCTTCAGAACACGTGGTGACGATGGCCAAACTCACGGCGACTTCACTCGAATTTGCGTGATCACATTCGTGCCCATTGTGTTTATTTTTGCCAGATGAAGCCGATTTTTTTCTAATTCATGTCTTCCGATGCGTTTTTTTGTGTTTGTTTCACCGTAATTTTGGCGCGTATTGAGTGCCTTTAAATTTTAACTTTTCCAGTGCCGTTATCTTGATCTCCCATGAAGCTCTGTGTGTCAATATAAAGCGCCCTTTTCGTTAATCCCTACTCCTAAATTGCTCTCAATACGTTGTGTATAAACTTGATCAAACAGTTTATAAACACACGAAATTGGAAAAGTATTGCGTTTGTAAGTGACGTTTTGCTGCTTGCATAACCGGCGTAGAAACGCAAAGTAAGCTGCAGCGCTTTGTGGGTCTGGTCAGTGCAGTTAGAGTACAGTTTGTTATTTCGTAAAATAATACACTGCCTCTCCAACTTATCACTTTTAGACGTCAAATTAACCTCGAGCTCTGAATACGTCCGCGAAGTTCAAGCCGAGCTCTGTCATTTCCTCTTGCGCGCAGCCCGTCGCTCGGTGAAGCGCAGTCCACCGCCACCGCCTCCATTCGTTGATTTTTCCACTCACGCCTCTACTCTAGCCACCATCGCAGCCTCAGAACGCCTCGGGCAGCTGCTTTCGCGTCTCACTGAGGTGAAACACGTGGCTTTTCAACTGGAGAATTTCCTCGTTGCCCGCTACTACGCCAGCTATATCCCCAACGCGAGCCTCCTCACCGAGATGCTTTTAACCAAACGCAGAGGCGGCCGAAATCCCATTGGCGTCACATCGACTCTGCAGCCAACGCCCCCTGCCGTCTCTGATTACGGTTTCACGCCTTTTTCACAGCCTCACCTCAAACAAGATCCCAACGACTACACCCCGATTCCCCCGCCCACTCTGCCCAGTTGGCGTCCCAGTGGCAGTGGCGAAGGCCTCCCTCCCACCCCTTTCACCGCCAGCACGACCGTTCCCCCCCTCGCCCCCACTCAGTACTTTCCCGTCTCGTCGGCATCATCGTCATCCGACTACCAGCAATCCTCGCAGCAACCACAGGATCAGAGTTTTTTTATGTCTCCCCCGCCGCCGCCGCCGCCACAACAACAACCACACACGCCCTCCGCGTCCGTCATTTAAAAGGCCAAAAATCTCCTACGAAGATCGCCCTTTCTTGCCCATCCATCCTGTTCAAGTCTTTGCCGTCTCAGGAATGTACCATTTCCCCCTGAACGCGTCTGTACTGGGCATTTATTTTCTAGCCCGTGCCCACCGTCTTCCCACCTCCACCGCCTCTCTCATCTCTTACTTACTTGGTCTCTAATTCCTCTCCACTTTTCCATATTCTATTTTAGAAATTTTCTTTCACTTCTCCCTAATATTATTAGTAGGAACGATGGAAATAAAAGAAATGTATGCATTTTTACAAAGGCTCATGTCGTATTTTTCCCTACTTTTCGGTTGCATTTGTTGTGTTGATTGTTGTTTCTATCCAAGACCTGTTAGTCCACGCATTCTGCGCAGATTTAAACCACATCATCAGCGATCTCTCCCTTATCGCTTAAATCGCATTCGTAGGTGGATGTAGATGTTACTGAAAAAGTGCCGATCAGGACACTTTTCTATGACGAAATTAATCGACATGGGAATCGCGTCTCCTGCTAAAGAGTTGGTCGGGTGCCACTGCTAATATCATTCCTTCTTTTTATTGGTGGAAACCTTTGCTAAATGTGGCCATAAAGAGCTTCATTGTCTTGCAATGTGCACTCCAACTGACGCGTTATCCGGGGTCCAGTCTAACTCCTCCACAATGTCACGGCATTCGCGTGCACAGCGGCCGATGCTCGAGTGCAAACCTATTACCCAAGGCAGCGCCACCGCTCCCTGCGTATTTACACGATGCAATCTGCCTGTGTGTGTGCGTGTATACTTGTACCCTAGTGACGTAACTACCCTGTGCGATAGTAGCACGTGCTTGTTGACCGTCATATATATTATTCGGCGGACCTGAAAGATTTCTGCAAGCCCACGTGATTGTGTTGGGCGCGTAGTGTGGAATGTTAGGCTCAGTAGCGGGCCAATAGCAAGCTCTCGAATTCCGAGCCTCCTTCGCTATTTTTTAAGGATTTTTAAGTGTCCAGCTATTGGGATATCTTGTTTCCTCTACTTAGCTAGACTTCGGACAATTTCGCCTCAAGAAGAAGCGCTGGTATTTGCGTCTTTCTGATTCCCGTACCATTCTTATCCTTACACGTGCATTCCGATGCTGTCAGACGATTTAAACTATCAAATTATGTGGTCGATCAGTCGGGGGAAGTAAGGCTCGTTAAGTTAATCAGATGCGTAGCTCTATCGGGTGAGCTCAAAACCGAGCTGTCATCCCTCAGTCAAACTGATCAATCAACTCTCATAGACCGTTTCGCCAGTGTCTTTGACATGTATAAATTCATAATGCGTGTGTATGCGTTCTTTCTATCTCATTTACCAATGCACGATTGGGAAGATGTCGTCACCTTTTGGAATCGTTTTAATCTTGACTGGTGAAACCCTTCGGGCCTTCTGCTTCTCCTGTTCGTGTTTCGCTGTAATTGTTTAAACCCATGTTGTACCTTTTCGCTTTGCTCGCGTAATTTGGAGTCCCTAATAGACGGCTTGTTTCTTAGCTGTCTGTTTTTACGACATCACTTACCGAAGAATTTGCCCACTTTTCCGCTTCCCCTCATTCTCGTCTTCTGCACCGCTTGACTACTTGTTGCCTATAATTATTGGTGGCGAGTTCAAGTTTTACTGTCCATGCAATGTCCTTTAAGCCATCGTCTAATCAAGGAACCCTTGGTTGAACCTGTGAACATCAAAAACGTATCTTTGTGATACTCGTTGTGCGTTGTTTAATCTGTGTGGTTTGTGCTACCTCGGATATCTAGACTACGTGCTTTGTTGAGCGCTCATAATTCCAGTTCTCTGTTTTTCTTTTATAGGCCAGCGCTGATACCGAAAGCTTTGACCTCACTCGTGCGTTGTTTCGTATTGTGCGAAAGGGACGAGTGAGCCGACTGCAGTCGTATGTTGCAAAATCCCTCGCCACAGACCATGTCGTGGGCCCCAGTTTGGTCTCAAACAGCGCCGCTACCGTCTACCTCCTTGCCTCGACTGTCGACTCGCAGGGGAGACGCCTTCTCCACGTCGCCTGTGAGTATGGCCAAGTGAAAATGCTCAGGTCAGCTTATCCGCCTGATACCTGGGCTCAGTGATTAGAAAACGGGAGCTTGTTTTTTTCCTTTTGAAAGAAATGTGATTGTCTTACGTGTAAATCTTCCTGCTATCCCATCCGTATCCTCCGTAAATAACTGCTCAAGCCTGTTTTTTTTTTCAAAGTTCCTGTGATATGTTGAGTCGTTCTTGCCTCCGCTTTTGCCGCAGCGTCAGTGTTACCTAGATAAATTTCTCAGTAGTTTACTCATGCCATTATCAAGGGGTTTTTTGCAACCTGAAATCTGAACATTTCTTCGATGGTCTCTGGGCCTCCGAATTACTCTATTTTGTCAGAAAAGCTGGTTTTTATGTGATATTTAGACAGATTTTGCTCGTTGCTTTTTGAGTCCCCACACGCTTCTTTGTGCATTCTGAGCATAGTGTAAACCTCATCTTTTATTACAAAATACCGTAAATTTTCGTTGTAGAACGCCTAACTGGCTAAAAGATGAGATTTTTGGGATGCCGCACCATATGCCTTTGTCGCGATTTTAATTTCGTTCACTGCCTATCGCAGTCAAAATCGATCCCATTTACTCTTCAAGCGGTTTTCATTTTTCGTCGTTGGCGTGGGTTATTTTTCACGCCTCCAAGGTTATGGGCTCGAGTCACGTCACCAATTAACGCATGCAACCATGCCTGCGCTGGCTCAGCCCAAGCGATTGTGTTGGCCATTCAGTGCACCATCTTTCACCCCACCTTTTCTCCCTGCTGCAAGGGGGTCTGGCGTAAAACCCTTCCAGTGTACGACGCTGTTGCCTCCTACTACCCATCCCACATCTCTTTTCCTTTTGGTTTTTACAGTTCCCAAAGTCTTGTATTCACGCAAATGCCAGTTTTGCATCACAAAATTTGTCTTGAAATTCAGACCACTTACATGTAGACGGTTGTGATTCGGTTCATTCTAGTTGACATTTTTTACAATCTGGTACTGCGGTAATCGTGGATGATTGGATGATTGATTAGCACTTTGCTGAAGTCGTCCTGGTGCATCAATATGCCACTTCGTATTTTAGGTATCTCGTGAGCATTGGACTGCCCATTGAAGTCTACGACAAGAAGGGAAACACACCGGTGCACTCCTGCCTCAAATACAGCATGAAACATCAACGGTTCGCAAAATGCACGTTCAACTGCATAAACGATTTGCCTTGATTCGACCGGCACTTTGACGTTTTTTATCAATTTCTAAAACCCGACGTGACGAATAAGGTGACTTTGATATCTGTCGACCAGGTCTTGCCTCTCCGAGCAAAGCAATCAAGAGTGTTTACTTAAAGCCATGATGCCGTTATCGGTAGTGATAGTGAAAAAAAAAGCCCACAAGGTCTGATCTTTCGCTTACCTCAACCTAGTCATTAAGTCATGTCTTTGCAACTAACTTAAACTTCATTTCCTTGCTATTCACTTCTACGACACATTTCAAACATCATTGTGAGCTTTTTGCTTCACTCCCTCGGATCGATTTTGCTGATATTTACTTGCTAAAATGCAAAATACTTTCTACACATTTCTCTTTAAAAGTAGGCTAATAGTCTAAATCAGGTCAATGCAAATTGCTCTCAGATGTCTGATACTTCGCCAAGACAATTGAACCCTTCGCTTACTATTCCCTGGTAATCGTTAGAGGCCAGTTCTTCCGGTGCCAAGTAACCTTTCTGCTGTGTGAAGACGTTTGTAGTGTTTAAACGGCAAAAGCCGACTGTGCTGCAGTAGGGCTACCTTTAGCAAGATGAAAACTGCGACCAGCTCACTTGAACGGGACTGTTAAAGCGTGTATTTGAGTGTTGAAATGAAAAAAAAAATGTGAATGCAATGCAGCACACGCGTTTTCTCATTATTTTACCACTTTTTGGAGAGATTATCAAGAAACCCCAAGGCCCTAGTTTGGCGCATCTAGTCTTTAAATGCATCAAGATCTCAAAATTGGGGCTATTTACTCATTGTTAACTTATCTATGATATTCCACGCATTCTCGGGAAGAGCGTCAACTTTTAAACCACACCAAAGTCACAGTATTCAGTTGCCGTGCGCAGCTGTTCTTAACTTGGTAGATGTGTAGTACTAACGAGTAAGAGTACGAAGCAACGTGAACGTCATAATTGCCATGATTATCAAGCATCAATAGGGAGTTTCTCGGTGTCACTTTATGTCCACCGCCTGGTTTATGTATCTCATTACTTTCTACCCACTGGGTTCAGGGTAAGATGTTTCTTCTGTCTGAAGCTCACCCATTAAATGCCTTCTTTTTCACCCACAGGCTGCAAACTTCTTGGTTGTCTGCTTAAGTCAAATCTCGAATTGTTGTATGTTCGAAACAACGAAGGCCTGTCACCGTCCTACCTTCTGGAGCAACTCTGGCGTCTGGCCTCGCCCAAGGAACGTTCCAAGGGTGATGCTGTAAGTAGCAAATCGGACTTTTAACTTGTGATTGTGTCCGTACTTTTTGGTGTTTCCCCATCTCATGTATTTTTAGCGGTAAATACCCTTTATTTTATTTTTGTGAAACTATCATTTTTATATGGCATGTAGTGGACGGACACATTGTCTTCTTGAATACTTTTTCCACAAATCAAATTAGGCTTCCGTTAATAAACAAATCGCCGTGTTTTAGAATAATGATTTGCTAAATATAGCCCCGAAATCTTTTACGTGAGATTGCTCTGTGTCACTACCACTTACTTCACGGTAGATTGCTGAAACTCTGTGTTATAGAGTTAGCATCTGAAACCGACAAATCTATCGATTTAACCAGCGCTCTTTCAAGACCATGCTCTATTCGTAGCTTGGCCAAGAGTCAAGCTCTGTGATTACTTATGTGATGCGGCGTCATAAACTCGCGTCCTTTAATCTTTCTCTGTGCGTCCTTTCCTTCAC